AGGACCTGGGATCATGACCTGAGCTGAAGGCAGCGGCTTAACCCACTGAGCCACCCAGGCGCCCCTACTTTTTTTTTTTTTTAACATTTCTTTATTTCTGGCCCCAGAGAAAACTCCAGCCTCATTTTGTGTATTCACCACCTCAGCCCTAGAAGCATTCATTTCTCTAATGAGTTCTCAAACTGCAATTTTTCAAAAGTAAGTTTCTTGTTCCATTCATGAAGGAAAGAAAATTACACTCATATAGCCATTTTAACATATTTTCATATTTCACTTAAACTCCATTATTAGATAAATTGTTCTGTATTATGACTGACAAAATAGAATTCGTGGTACTACTGCTAGAAATTAATACCTTTGTATGTAAATTAATTCAAAGAAGTAAGGACATGAAATAAACTATTTCCACCTGGGATTATTTATTTATGACATACACAGTACTTTAAAGCCTCCTGTCCAAGTAACATCACCAATAATATTGCTGTAACTATGAAGCTAGGAAGTAGTGTATCAAATAGGGAAAGGAACACCACTCAACCTGGTAGTAGGTTACTATTTCCAATAAAGAAGAAATATTTCTTGAATTGAAAATATTCAAACCTATCAGTTTGAAAGTGGCCAGTGGAAATGATGGGAAGAGTGAGACAGACAAATAAATATGAGAAGGATACAGGCATAAAGGAATAAAACATATGTTGATAATGTTTAAAGGGTTCACGAAAAATGTACAAGATAGATATGCAAGAACAGCAGATGATTGGAGTTTGAGTATCTAAGAACACACAATTTGTTATATCTTCTATCTTCTAAAAACTGGTGACCGGCTGTCTTCTAGACTCAAATTGAGGGCTTTCTTTGCATCTGAAAACCCAAGTTCAATTTGAGAGTGTTGCTCAAAAACCTGACTCAAATAACTATGTCAGGGTTACCTGGTTTAGTCTCATGGCGGCTTCCCTGATGTGCTAGACTATTTTCACGGCTTTTTCTCAGCTTTCTCCAGAGGTCTACTTGTCCTCACCTTTCGTAATCAATAAGCATCACGTGATATTTGATTCCTGCTTTTCTTTGCTTGACTTTCCAGTTCATCCTATTCTGTCAGCTATAGGTCATGGATTCTAATTTTGCTATTCTAATGTGCCCCTCCCCTAGCCTAAGCTTTGCCTGACTTAGCTTCCATTCTCAACATATGTGACTTTGGTTAGGGAATCCTGTCACACGTTCTAATCCTAGCTATATACAATTAAACTTAACTCTGTCATGACACAGCCCAAGGGTCTCACGCCATCAGCCAGCTTGTCAGCTTCCACCTAAGGCTCTACCTCCTGGGGCAGAGGTTTCACAGACTATCCATGACATGAGAGAGCAGGGCAGGTGAAGAAGTAAATCCTAACAGCAACAGAAATATTATCATGACCGAAAACATGGCCATAAATTCCTTATACTTGTAGATATGGATACATTGTGTCAACTCATCTTCACCTACCAGGAAACCCCTAGCACCTTCTCATAGGCTCTGAACCCCTACCCAAAACTGGAAATGTAGTTAATAAGCTGAAGAAAGGTTATCAGCAACAACATTCCAGATAAAGACGGTTCTACCTCTTATTCTGTGAAGTATTACATGTCAAATTTTTAAGTTCATCTATGGTTTAACAGATTAAAACACAATGCTTAGCATTTTGTTCCGGAGCTGGCAGCCCAGAACACATGTCCAGAAGGACAGAAATATCCCCAAAAAGGCACCCTTCAATCTTGGTGGGTTCTAAGCTGCCTACCACAGAGTAAGAACATTTAAAAAAGAAGCCAGTCAAAGCAGATTCTAGGCTAAGTTTCCAGATATGGGCTTCAATTAAACTCTACATCAAAGGGACTGAACTAGTTGTTTCCGGTCCCTCCGTGAGATATTCCATGATGCTCTGCTCTGCAGATTCCACTCAGGGATACATGAGCCTAGAGGGAGTCTCTACTTCAAAATGGTCCAGTGCCCCCCTCCCAAAGATTACAATCTCTAGGTGGCAGAAAAGAGGAAAAAAGGAAATCCTCTCATTTTCTCAGGCAGAATGCTCACAAGGGTAGATCAAAATACTATCATTTTAAATAAAATGATGTTGGGTTTAAAATAATCTGCCATCTACCTAACTCCCTCTAAATCCACAGACAAATTTCCTGCGATGGTTTACTTCTTTGGACCTTTCTTATTTTCCTCAGATCACTGATTTCAAGTGTCTTCATAATCTCACAACTTCCAGAAAATAAAAAAAAAAGATTCATTATAATATGCATTTTAATATGTCTGATAAGCCTGAGATTTTGGAATCTGCTTAGTGAAAACAATACAAGTACTTGATTTATTATGTAATGATAATCTAATAAGAAAGAAGCCATCCCATGCACCTTAAAGAAAACCTCCACAAAAGAAGGCCCAATGTTACATGTAAGGTCTTACTACTGTAAAACCAGTCTTTAAAGGGATGCCAGTAAGGGAGGAAATGGGATCAGGGCTCACATGCAATGCAGCAACTACGGTACTGTTAATCTTAATTTCTAGATATGAATGCATCTTATATGAGATTTAGTATTATCCTTTACAAAGCTTATCGTTAATGTTAATCTAATAGGATCAATAAGGAAACTTCTTTTTAAGGACCATTCTTACGAAAGAGCAGATAAGAGAGGAGGAAGATAAATCCCTGTTTTGGCGTCACTTACCTATCTGGCCACTGGGTGCCAGAGTAGATCTTCCTAAAGTCAGAGGTTCAGCCAAGGAGATTACTAATTCACACGGCTGCATACCAAAGCATGAATGGTAAGGACACTAAGATAGTCTTCTCATTCATGGAGCTGAATCTTTTTTTAAAAAAAACTCTCAACTATCTTTTCAAAAGAACTCAACAACTGTCTTCTTAATGCATTCTGTGATTTTTAGGAACTACTGAATTTTTATTTATGTATTTAAAAGCAATAGATTTAGTTTTCATTAAAGATCCTTGATACAGTGTTCCCAAACCAAAATTGATTCAGATTTGGTTTTCATAGATTTGGTTTTGGTTTGCTTTTAGATTTGGATTTGATTTTAGATTTGACTTGGATTTAGTTTTGGTCTTCATGGATTTGGTTTTCACTATAATAAAAGCTTCAGGGGTTCCCACACCAAGTCTCATCTGAGCAGTACCTGGACTAGCAAAGGCAATCATATCCCACAGATCCAAACCACTACAATGTCCCCATTGTTAATATCCTGAGCATTGCTGGACAGAAAACGGATAGAGCAAAATCCACTGGCATTGTTCTCTTTCCTGAAATTGGAAAGTAGTCACTCTTCTGTATCTTTCCCCATGTCTCCCCACTTCATGGACTTCAGATGTCAACAATCTAACAGTTTAAAAACAAACAAACAAACAAAAAGGTTCCTTAAAATGCCCACTTAATTAGTATGATAAGCCCCAGCTATTAACTTAGAGAAGGCAGAGAGACCATGATTTCTTATGAAGTTTCTTTTAAACAATTCTCTACTTTTGTATCTCTCTCTCTTTTTTTCCTTCCTTTTTTCTTTTTTGTCAGTAGTGAAAGGAAAGTACAATTATGGTGTCTGGAACACTATGCAGGTTTTTACTTAGATTTGCTTTTCCGTTGCTACTGCGTCATCTTCATTGACTCAAGGCCTGGAATTCTAAAAGTTACATGTGATGGAGATCTCCAAATTCCGAGCTTCTGAAAAGTGGAGATGGGTGAGACCTAGCTACTTCTTTCTCCTATTTTCTATTAACTTCCACCTTTCTTTTGGTTCTTTATAGAGTGAGAATGTGTCTAATACAACTAAATCCTCATTCTGTACTCACCCAATACAAACATAAACATTAAAAGACACAACAAATTTTATTAAAATTTATAAGAAATTCTCTACCTTCATCAACAGAATCTGAAGTGCTGCTTTTATCCAGAGAAAGATATTCATTTTTATTCAAGTCCAGTGATTTTGACGGCACTCTGCTTAATCTCTTTTCTGAAGTTAGTAAAGAACTCTTTTTCATCTGTTTCTCATTTTGGGGTTCCTCTTTCTCTAGCCCCTAAAAGGCAAATAATCCAATTTAAAAAATAGATTATTGGCTTAGATTTTAAGGAGGAATTTTTAAAAACAAAAATGCTTTGAAATGCAGCTCTTTGGAAAATATGTTATTTTTACATCACATTTCCAATATAGTCCATAAAATATTGATAAATAGTAATATATTATCTTATAATATACTTACGTATTAATGAACAATAAACTTATGAAGAACATCATATAAAAAGAACTCACAGTTAACATCATGTGAATCACTTAAGCAGAAGGGAAAGGGGAGCAGAGGACAAAAATAATGGAAGAGCAGTTTCTTTGGGGTAGGCAAGGAATCAAATCCAATTAGTGTCCCCAGACCCCCCAGGTATTCCTGCCCCATCATCTCAAGGAAGAGAACTCCCCCATTCTCAAGACCAGTAACAGGGGAAAGGGAAAGAAAATAGAAAGATAAGAGTCACATAAGAGTACAGTAGAGGAGATTGGATTAATAGGAAACATTAATTTCATAGCAAACTTGAAAGAACACAGTTGGCTTTGCTGTTAAGGGATTAAGGAATTGGGCATTAAAAGATATTCAATATATGATACTATCTGTACTTTCTGGGGTGATTTAATCAAGACACATCATTTCCATAATAAATTTAATGTTAGGCATTAAAGTCTGAATGCTATTGCTATGTTATTATTCAAGTAGGATTCTATTATAATTGGGTTTAACCTAGTCAAAGGACTGACCCTAGTCAAAAGACTGATTCTTTAAGCAGAGATCACTGCCAAAATTGAGACTTGATTTATTTGGGAGTTCCACACTACAAAGCAACATGCTTACTAGCTGACCCAGAACCTCTTCAGCAGATGCTAAATAGAGTTACCTTCCATACATATTTCTCCTGTTGTTTATAATTAAGATATGGCTCCTATTATAAAGAATATGGACAGATACTTTCAGGAAAAGTAACAGTCACAATTTTTGAGTGGTTGGCAGCTGCACAATTTTTATTTCTTTGTAGTCTTTTCTGTATTTCCTGGATTTTTCAAAGAATATTAATTTTATAACTTTAAAAAGTTATAATTCATCTTAAAATGTTTTAAAAATATTATTTTTCACTTTTTGTTATTTCCAACTTTCTAGGAAGTAAAAATGACACAAAGTAAGTGACATATGATATTTTTTGACCTCTGAGAATCTCATTACACTGTTCTTGAACGAAAAAAAAGGAGTTGGGGGTGCCTGGGTGGCTAAGTCCTTAAAGCATCTGCCTTGGGCTCAGGTCCTGGGATCAAGCCCTGCATCAGACCCCCTACTCAGCAGGAAGCCTGCTTCCCTCTCTCCCACTCCCCCTGCTTGTGTTCCTCTTCCTGTGTCTCTCTCTGTCAAATAAATAAATAAAATCTTTAAAAAAAAAAAAAAAGAAAGAAAAAGGAGTGAACTTTCATATTACTTGTTTCTATAACCTGAAAACATCTATACAAAACATCAATGAATGTATGGTCAATCTTAAAACATTAATGCCTTCCTCTATATTCCACTCTCTTTCCTTAAAGGAAATATGACATCCTTTAGGGACAAAACTAGAAGCAAGAACCAAAGGATTAACTATTCTAAGAGCAGGTACAGAAGACAATATCAAGGCAGTAGGTAGTAAGAAAGACTCAAGAGTAGTAGTTTTGAGAATCCAGTCCTCAAAGTCAGGCTTTTGTAAAAGGATCAGGAGATTGCAAGAAATGTCCTATCCTGTTACCTCCCTAAAATTGAGTGGTTTGGTTTTCTCAGTGAGAACATATAAAGAGATTAGCACCCAGAATCACCTCCCATATATCAGTAGTAAGTTCCTAAGGGTCTCTAGATGAATAGTTTTGCAAGAAATCCACAGTACAAATTCAGACTGGGATAGATGCATGACAGTTGCCGGAAGCGAGCTGGTAACTTGATGGACTCTACATACTCTGTTTCAATGTTTTCCTGACACTTATTCACAGATGCTGGTTGGCTCCAAGTGAGAAGATAGAAAAAGGCCCTTGCTGGCTACATGCAGATTCACCTTGAAATAATAGCTTATGGTTATTGAATACTTAATGTGTATTAGGGATCGTTCAAAGCACTTTCACATATATTACTTCATTTAATCCTTATTTAAAAACCCTATGGGGGTATTACTGTCTTCATCTTATAACTGAGAAAACAAAAGCATAGAAATGTGAAGTAATTAAGTTGACTTCTTTAAAGGCATTCAGGTAGCGAGTGGCAGAGGCAGGATTTGAAAGCAACACTCTGCTTTAAACCAAGAAATTCAGGTGCAGCCCAGACTTGCATCCCCAATCAGCAGAACGAAAACCCTACCATAGGAGCACTCTCAGCACTCAGAATGTGGTCTCCAAATACCATCCTTCATGAAGAACTGTGGCCCATTAGGAAAATGGCTGATACTGAGTCTGGGACAGTAAGTGTACAGTGTGCCTAGGTCACATTATTGTGATAGAAAGAAAGGAAGCCATCAAAGATTACTGATCATTTCAAAAAAAAAACAAAGCAGGGGCACCTGGGTGGCTCAGTGGGTTAAGCTTCTGCCTTCGGCTCAGGTCATGATCTCAGAGTTCTGGGATCAAGCCCCACAATGGGGTCTCTGGCTCAGCGGGGAGCCTGTACCCCCCCCTCCCCTGCCTGCCTCTCTGCCTACTTGTGATCTCTCTCTCTGTGTCAAATAAATAAAATCTTTAAAAAAGAAAAAAAAGCAGCCAACCTGAAGGGGCTCCCATTGGCAGAGGAGACAAAATGAGCATTTAAAAAAATAAATAATGACTAAAATGATAGAAATTCATTGAAATTAAAAAAAAAAAAGCAATGGGCTTATAATGATAGTTGAAAAAATAAAAGAAGAAACTAAGTAACATGAATTAACCTGATGTGCCTGCTTTCATAGTCAACTTAAGAAGCACCTCCTGTTATTCAAGCATGTGGCACAGGGTTCTCATCTTCCCTTTCAAAAGAGATTTTTCCTACCACTTAATCTGAAAAATCTGCTAACTACAAATTACTCTACCTTATTATATTTTTAATGATATCTATCCCCCTTAGAGACTAATGCTCAGGAAACTGTCTAGTAGTTCTGCACCATATCCAGCTCTGAACAAAACCACACATTATTCCCTTATAAGCTCTGCTACTTATAGACTTAAAACCTTTCTCCTAAGACAAAGGAGCAGCCTGACATCTTAAATTTTTAAACATTTTGTACAGTATATTTTTATTTGATCTTGCATTATGATTAACACACGGCAGCATCAGATATATTTTAAAAGGGATATCATGCACTAACTTTTGGTGGATTTCCATCAATTGACTCTGCTTCTGAAACCCGATTAACTGATTCTCGGGTAAAACTGATGGACTTGGAAAATTTTTCATCTCTCTCCCCACAGTCATCCAAGCTACTTCTTCCTGGACTTCTGTAAGAAACACATCATTATAGAATATAATCAAGGTCAATTCCACACAAATAAGTGATTCAGTCTCCCCACTGAGGTCCTTTGCTATTATAAAGCATTTTGACAACAAATGGGTGTTTGTAATGTTACAAATAAGCCCTACTTATAACAAGGCCATCTTCTTAAATCACATGCAGATTGACTTTATTTCTGAAAACAAAATATGCTCACATGGGATTTTATAAATTTCAGAAACCATTAAAAAATTAACCAAGTACGAGCGGCTGTAACAACAGTTAATACAATGAATATTATAGCTTGTTTAAATTTCAGTCATGAACCACCACAAAGCTTTGAAAGGTGCAGGGCAGGGGTCTGAGTTGGATGCCAGTCAACTCCAGAAGGCAGTTTCAGATCTCCTTCCGATTAAGTTCCAGCTGAGGTGGTGAGTCCCTCCCAGAAGGGGGAGCTCCTGATATCTGAGCACAGACCCCATCAATCAGTCCATGCCCACCTTCTTCTTGCTCTTCTCATTCCTAAGAATAAAGTTTAAGGAACAACTTTCATAAGGCCCTAGGAACATGACTCTAACAAATGTGCTGAGACCTACTTTTCCTCTCTTAGGGAAGAGCATAAAGAAAGGAAAATCTATGAAACATAAAAGGAGTACAACTGATCTAATGTCTAGGTCTCAAACTTACTAAGCAATTATTCCAATGTAATCTTTGCTTACATAGAGACTTAAAGCTCTTCTAAAATAAAGTGGCAGCCTAACATCTTCAGCCATGTCATCCTGAGGAACACCCCTATTTTACCCCACCCAAATAACACTTAGATCTGCCACCAAGTCACTCTTGGCCAGGCAAAATGGCAGGGCTGAGGGGACCCAACAAGAAAAATGGCCCCTTGGAGACTAGCCCAGCAAATGAGTATCTGCATGTGAGGATTTTAAGGATGGGAGTGAACTGCAGAGAAATACAGAAAGGAAAAAGGAGGGATAATGATGGAGAAAATGAAAATGAAGATGAAGATGGAATAGCTGAGGAAATAAAGGTTTGAGACAGATACACTTCTTTCAGGAAGTGGGAAGAAAGGGAAAAGGAGAAGGGGGATGAGGATCTGGCTACAAATTCTCTAAGAAAGCACTCAATCACCAGAAGACAACAGCAACCTCTCTGGTGACTTCAAAAAGCTGGACCTTAGAGGATATGAAGAATCTGCTAAAAAATATTCAGTCTCTTCTTCTTTAAAGACTAGAAACTCCTCGAGTTGGCAGGGACCCTAGAGCTCATCGAGTTGAACTGCCTAATTTCAGAAGTGAATAAAGTGAGGATCAGAAAGACGAGGAGATTGGTTTGAGGTTGTGCAGCTACTTGGTGACCAAGTCCAGACTAGAACCCAGATCTTCTCCATCATAATCCAAGGATCTCTGCATTATGTCAATTGTTTCCAAGACCTAAGAGAGACTAGTAAACTTTACAAGAAGAGTAGTACAATGGAAATTTTTAACTTTACAGAAAACTAATAAAATATGCATGTGCAACCACATTAAAAAAAGACTAAAATATTGATGCTGAGCTGAAATGGTATAAAGAGGATCAGCATAACTAGAAAGCTACCTAAATAAAGGAAAAATTGTGTACATGGTGGACTTCTGAAAGCTTTCTATATTTATCATATTTATTTATTTATTATTTATTTATTTATTTATTATTTATTTATTTATTATTATTACTATATTTATTATAGATTTATTTGCTATAGAATGTTTAAGTAAGAGTTTTATTAAGATATAATTCACGTACCATAAAATTCACCCATTTAAAGTGTACAATACAGTGGTTACAGAGTTGCACAATCATGATCACCACTATCTTGTTTTAGAACATGTTCATCCCCAAAAAGAAATCCTGTACCCATTAGCAATCACTCCCCATTCCCCCTTCCTCCTAGCCTCTGGCAACTACTAATCTTTCCGTCCCTATGGCTCTACTCATTCTGGATTCCATCTCATATAAACGGAATCATACGATATGTGGTCTTTGGTGACTTGCTCCTTTCACTTGCTTCTTTCACTTATAATGTCTACTATAGAATTTTAATGTATTATCCCTAGTTGTTTTTACTGCTATGACCTCAATCACCATTGGACAAAATGTACTTTTATTTGCACAGGCTAATAAAAATGTCCACTCTTCCCAGTGGATACCTACCAGTCAAAAATGATCTCTCTCATCTCTGAATTTCTTTATCACATTATCTATTGCTGCTCTTGGCCTTTATTATTTTCAACCTCGTATTATAATTATTTGCATTCCCCACAGTACCATCAGTCCCTTTCATTAACGCACTCAATATTTGTTGAGTACCAACTACATGTCAAACACCACACTAGGGTTTTCTCGAGGAAACATCTTATTATCTTTGTATTCCTCAAAGTATCTACCAGCTAATTTATTTTATTGTTATCTATAAGATCAGAGATGTCACTAGGTACTTACTTCTCCAGATCCTTAAGAAAAAGCTTTACTAAAACCACACTTTAAGTAAATCCTAGATGACACAGTTACAAAATTGACATTTCCTTATATGTCCTGTATTTGCTTACCAATTTAGCACTACTACTCACTGTCCTCACCTTTCACTGCATTCCACTACAGAGAACAAAGAGGCAAATTCTACCCAATGATGAATTAATAGAAATTCTAAATTAGGAAAGTCTAAAATAATTCTGCTTGAATTCATGATTAATAAATCGTGAAATTTCAAAACATTTTGCTCTACCTGGGCTGTGCATTATCCTCGATCGACAGAGACAAGTTTTCCATCTCTTCAGCATTTAAGCCTAGCTCATTGCCATAGTTCTGCTGGAGCAGCTGCCAGAATTCCTGTCTGGTCAAGCTCTAAAAGGACAGAAAAATTACACTGAGTATTGGAAAAGATAGGCTAGGATAACACAGTGATTCAAAACATGAATTCTGAAGTCAAAATGATCTGTTGTGCAGATTCTAAATGTGTAACTTTGGTAGTTATTTGACCTTTCTAGATGTCAGTTTTCTGTATCTGTAAAAAAAATGTGTCAACAAAACTTATCCGACAGGGTTGATAGTGGGAGTTGATAAAATGCTGATTTTAAAGTGTGTAACATAATAACTACTGTAAATGGGAAGTAAGATGTTTAAAATGGCCTTTTCGTAGAATAGTTTGTTCACAATATCAGGCATTCACCAATGTGAAATTTAAATTCTATAATCCAACCCCTCTGCTGTGACCACTGGATCAACACTCAGAGTTCTAATCTTCAATTCAGAATCATCTTCTTAATCCGTAATGTATCTGAATATTTCAATCATTTTAAAAACCTTATATATCAGGGGTGCCTGGGTAGCTCAGCTGAGCATCTGCCTTTGGCTCAGGTCATAATCCCAAGGTCCTGGGATCCAGCCCTGCACTGGGCTCTTTGCTCAGCAAGTAGCCTGCTTCTCCTTCCCCTCTCCTTCTCTCTGCCTGCTGCTCCCCCTGCTTGTGCTCTGTCAAATAAATAAATAAAATCTTAAAAAAAAAAACAAAAAACTGATATATCAGTAAACTTTAAGTTATATTTTCCTCAAATATAAAAGGCAACAGGCTAGAATTCAGAGTATTTTCTCTGATTTACTTTTAACAAAATCCAACTTGTTCTTTGTAGGTATCATATCGGAGTTAAAATCATCTAATACCAAAAACTCGTACATTACATAGCAAAACAAAAACAGTAATAGTATGATAACCAATGGTCTGATTTTTAGAAATATTTTAGGTCTAATATAATTACATGATTAAGCAAGGTAAAGGGAGGCAACATAACACCTGAGGCAACTGTTGGCAAGATTCTTCCTCTCTCTCATTCATCCAACAAATATTTATTTAGAACCTACCAAACATGTATCACTGCACTAGATGGCTAAGGAGGGCAAAAGTAATGTACAAGAAAGCAAAAATGGACTTTTCAGACTTCATCAAGATAAAAAGCTTCTCCACAGCAAAGTAAACAGTCAACAGAACTAAGAGGAAACCCACAGAATAGGAGATGATACTCTGCAAGTGACATTACAGATAAAGGGCTGGTATCCAAGATCTATAAAGAACTTCTCAAACTCAACACCCAAAACACAAATAATCCAGTCAAGAAATGGGCAGAAGACATGAACAGACACTTCTCCAAAGAAGACATACAAATGGCTAACAGACACGTGAAAAAATGTTCAACATCTCTAGCCATCAGGGAAATACAAATCAAAACCATAATGAGGGTGCCTGGGTGGCTCAGTTGGTTAAGCGTCTGCCTTTGGCTCCGGTTGTGATCCCAGGGTCCTGGGAGAGAGTCCTACATCGGGCTCCCTGCTCCACAGGGAGTCTGCTTCTCCCTCTGCCCCTCCCCTCACTCATTCTCTTAACCTTGACTTTCTCTCAAATAAATAAATCTTTAAAAAAGATTTATTTACACCAGTTAGAATGGCAAAAATTAGTAAGATGGGAAAAAACAAATGTTGGTGAGGATGTGGAGAAAAAGGAACACTCTTGCACTGTTGGTGGAAATGCAAGCTGGTACAGCCACTCTGGAGAACAGTATGGAGGTTCTTCAAGACATTAAAAATAGAGCTATCCTATGAGCCAGCAATTGCACTACTAGGTATTTACCCCAAAGATACAGATGTAGTGAAAAGGAGGGGCACATGCACCCCAATGTTCATAGCAGCAATGTCCACAATAGCCAAACTCTGGAAGGAGCTGAGATGTCCTTCAACAGATGAATGGATAAAGAAGGTGTGGTTCATATATACAATGGAATATTACTCAGCCATCATAAAGGATGGATTCCTACCATTTTGCATCGACATGGATGGAACTGGAGGGGATTATGCTAAGTGAAATAAGTTAAGCAGAAAAAGACAATTATCATATGGTTTCACTCATATGTGGAACATAAGGAATAGCATGGAGGAACACAGGGGAAAGGAAGGAAAAGTGAATGGGAAGAAATCAGAGAGGAAGACAAACCATGAGAGACTCTGGACTCTGGGAACCAAACTGAGGGTTACAGAAGGGAGGGGGGTGGGGGGATGGGGTAAACAGGTGATGGGTATTAAGGAGGACACGTGTGGTGATGAGCACTGGGTATTATACACAACTAATGAATCATTGAACACTACATCTAAACTAATGACGTACTGTATAGGCTAATTGAACATAATAATAAAAAAAATAATGTATAAGTTAAGCTCCTTGCTCTCAAACAACTTAAATATAGTTGAAGAAACATGAGAGACTTTTTAAGTTAAATATAATGGGCTATAATTTATTAAGTACTAAAGTACTAGTAGAATCAACATATTATAAAAGTCTAAATGCAAGAAATATTACTGTGCATTTACATGTAATATTTGTATTAGATAAGGCTACACACTGGAGAAGGGTCTTCAGCAGAGCTGAAGGAAGGACATGAATGGGGAAAATGGAAAAATGAGGAAATACAAATACAGAATACATACATAAAGAACATAGGTAATCCTTGCTTTTTTTTTTCTTTTAGGTTTATTTATTTTTATTTTAGAGAAAGCAAGCACACACACTCATGTGGGTGGGGGGGAGAGGCATAAGGAAAGGGAAAGAGAGAATCCTCAAGCAGAAAATTCTGCTTGAGGAATCATGGACCCCCAAGGCAAGGCTTGATCCCAGGACCCTGAGATCATGACCTGAGCCCAAATCAAGAGTTGGCCACCTAACTGACTAAGCCATCCAGATGCCCCAGGTAATACTTGTTCAGAAGTCAGTTAACAGTTTATTCACCTAACTGGAGTAAAAAACTTAAGTCAAAAAAATTAAGTCAGATTTGAAGTCAGAAAATAAAGACACGTAGATTTAATGAGGCCTAAACATACATATGCCTTAAATTCCTCCCTGATATTTCCCTTGACAATTGCCACTTCTTTATTTTCTTTCTCCTCGTTTCTTCTCCCTTTCTGGTGGCTATGGAATCTTTGTTACATTACACTAGATGACCTTCAGTATATTTCATGGAACCTCAAAGAGACAAGAACAAAATTTCTACACTTTAGACCACCAGTTTTCAATTTGCCATACCCAGACTACTGGGTTTCCACAAGAGCAGTTGAAGAAAATTCAGATATTATCAGTACTTTAAAAAATCAAAAATATCCAAACAGTTACCTAAAATAAAGTTATTCAAGCTAAGTAATTGTCAGGGCTCTCTGGGTCTGAATTACATTAGCTTTGAGGAGTTATCTAAGGCTGATAAGAAACTCTCATTGTAAATAATGTGTGTCTAACAAACAATAATGTTCTAACATTTTATTATTTAGTATACACCACTTGTTTGGTGGGCAAAGTCTTTTGAAGATTAGTGTCCATGAAAGAAAAAATAAAAAGGATAACTAGTAGCAGAGAAAGTTAAGGAACCACTGTCCTTCATCCTAAAGATACCCCCACACATTTCTTTTCTGACTTCCACACCAGAAAAGCCATTTGTGAATAGCAATTAGCTCATACTAATAACTCATCTTTCAAAGACACTACCTTTGAAATACTTTTAGTGTCATAAATGGATGGTTAACTTTATTAAGAGAAACAAGAAAATTTCAATATACTTATGGAAGATTAACCTTTTACAAAAACTTCTCTGGAATAATAAAAATCAAAGTATTCCAAACAGACTAAAGGAAGTAGATAAACTAATGATAAATATTCAGACAGCTTTCCAAGAGTGAAAGACACGAAATGTAGACGTAAAATAGTAACAACAAAAATGCAATTTTAAAATATATTATCAAATACTATCAGGAAGTTAACAGTAAATAGGTTAATACACTTTTTTTAATCTATTAGTTCATATATAAAGTGTATTTTTATATACAAATATAAAAGTATATACTTACTATTTTATATAAAGGTATAAAGTATGTACATATATATAAGTTAATGGAAAACAAAATAGAATTCATTTAATCATCTTTTTTTTTTACCATCTTAAATTCACCATCTTACAGATCTGCTAATTTGTTAAAAATAACTTTTTCTAGGGACGCCTGGGTGGCCCAGTCGGTTAAGCTGCTGCCTTCGGCTCAGGTTATAATCCCAGGGTCCTGGGATTGAGTCCCACATTGGGCTCCTTGTCCAGCAGGGAGCCTGCTTCTCTCTCTACCTCTGCCTGCCACTCTGCCTGCTTGTGCTCTCTCTCTGACAAATAAATAAATAAAATCTTTTAAACAAATCTGAAAAAAATTAAAAATAAAAAACAAAAAAAAATAACTTTTTCTACAAAGTTGGTCAGAAGTCACAAAAAATGTGGTTATTTGTAGTCATGCTGAATATTTAAACATTAAAACATATACACAGACTGATATTCATAATTCTCTGAATAATAATAATTATCTGAATTAGGTTGTTTCAAAAAACAACCTGAATTTTAAACAAAGGCAGACCACCTACCTACAAACAATGGAGGGTCTCCTGGGTTCAGCCGGCAGAGTACTTTAACAAAATAAAGATGAACCAAGTAGCAATCAGATAAGACTCAAGTCAGAAGATCAATTTCTGGCCCAGAAAGCTTTGTATTCTAAGTATTCTGCAGTCTTTATCTGCAGCAGAGTTCCAAATACTTAATGACAACTATGTGAAATCACTGCTTCAATCTTCTCGTTTTTGAGAGGCTTCTCCTTATGAAAGACATGTTCTATTGAGTTTAAAGCACATTATTTGTCACTTCCTGTTATGTAGTACCAGCACTCTTTCCAAGGTTGCAGGTCAGAATGCAGAAGTGGTAGTTACACCTCACTCTACAGGTTCCTAAGCCACTCCCACTAGAAGAGGCTAGGTAAACAGGGTTTTATTAAAGGGACAGATC